AAACCGAAGAGATCAAGTTACCCCATTTCCCCCCTTTTCTCCTGCTCTGTCTCTCCGTCTCTGTCGGGTGTAGAGTTTCTCCAGGCTCCAGACCAGTGGCGTAGGCAGAAATTGTATTTTGGGTGGGCCAGTGAAAATGTGAGTGGGCCTATAGTTTTTCATAGAAAAAAATGACTTCAGTAATAATTAACCTTAGAGAGTAGAACAATTAATAGACAAACTGCAAAAACAGTTACACCTTTATATTCGGCAAATCATCATGTTCAACCAACAGAGCTTAATAAAGGCTGGACAAACCAGTGTAGACAATAACCTGTCTATTTTATTCAGGCTAGTCAGCAGTGCAAAGACAGTTCACCCGAAAATAAAGTAAGCTAAAATAATAATATCGCAGTTAGATGGGCGGGTAAACCCGCGTCAGGCTGACCGGGAGAGAGGGAGCAAGAAGCAGCCGCCACCAGCACCTGACTAGCCTTCTCCTGGGGTAATGAGTCTGAATAACTGGGCTGTGTGGACTCGGAAGATGAAGGCAGTGGCGTGTCTTCTTCCTCAACTCTTGCTTTTTTCAAATAGCACATTAAAGAAAGTTGTTTAGCCATTATTGTGGCGCCGACGCCGCTGTGAGTTTTCCTGTCGGAACCCCCAGCAACCATAGCAACCAATAACGTTCCGGAGAGAGGCTTTCTATAACTTGCTTTGACAGTTCCATTTTATTCGGAAAACGAATTAAACACACACAGCAGTCAACAATAAATCCGGTATATATTAATATATTTTCTTAAATACATTTGAATAAAAATAAACTAAAAATTTATTTTTATCAAACTTGCCTGGGCGGGCCAGTGAGTAATGTGGGCGGGCCAGTGCCGCCCTGGCCCAATACTGGCTACGCCCCTGCTCCAGACAGAGGCACTAATAGGGCCTTTACCCCCAGACACCAACAACACAGGGGACAGAGAGAGAGAGAGCGAGAGAGAGAGAGAGAGACGGTGGGGCGTGTGCGTGAGATGGAAGGAAAGTGTGTAATTGATGGCACACCTGCATGCTATCAGTAAAAATGAGAGCCATGAGTGCGTGTTAAAAGAAGGGAAACCAGAGATGGAGACGTGTGTGTGTGTGTGTGTGTGTGCAGTGTATTCAGCTATTTGAACTCAAAAGTGCACGTGAAATGTGCAGTTGCATGGGCAGCATGCTTTTTATCATGTTCCCTACAACCTACAAGAATAAGTTTGCTACTGCAGAAACCAACTAACAATGATTCCACTTCCTGACAAACATTTCACTCTCTCTCCTACAACTGCCTTTTCAAGCTGTTCTATACCTCATGGGGCGTCCCCTCATCCATACCCCCAAATCCCTCATGACCCCTTAAGAGTCTCTGACAAAGCAAACTCCTCCCATGTGACCCCTGTAGGCCTGTGTGCAGTTAATGACGTTATTATTAATGACATCACGGTGGTAAGAAACTAAACTAACAACTCAAATGACAATAGAGCTGCTTCTGAAATTGCATACTTGCCTACTATATAGTATGCGAAAAACAGTACGCTAACAGAGTAGTATGTCTGAATTCATAGTATTCGAAAAACAGTAGGCGAAAAGCACCCGTATGACCTACTACTTCTGGCGAGATTCTGAAGTGGGCATTCACTGACACTTTACTATCCCATGAGGCCATGGGAGAGGATTTATAAATGGCAGTGAAGCAACGCAACTAACGCTGGTAGGTCACGTGACAGTAACAACATGGCGGATGTAGTACGTCCGAATTTCACTCACACTATCCACATTCATACTATATATAGAACATACTTTTTTAACGGTTGCGAAGTTCAAATTCAAATGTAGTACCTACTCAGACGGTACGCGATTTCGGACGCAGCGAACATAATGCGTAGTAAGTCAAATGCAGTAATAACTATACAACAAATTAAGGCTCTCTATCGACATCTGTGGTTGAAACATAAAATTGTGACCATGCTCTGGCACTGAAGTAAATCACACATCTGTGATCCGCTATAGTCGCCAAACTTTTGTTTCCTCAGTTTATGAACATGACATAAATATGCAAGGACAAATGGCAGAAGCATAAAATTAATCAGCTCTGAATATAGATCATTTCAAATGAAAGCTCTGCATAGTTTTGCAGCATTGAGCCAATCACAAACATAACCTCAGATTGGAAAATCAACAGATAAGTTAGCACTGAAGAAAAACTGAGTGGATTCTGCACGCTCACAAATGCATACTCTCATTATAACAAATAATTATGTAAATAAGAGATTCGTTGTGCAGTCAGCTTCATTAATTATAACGGAGCAGTGTAAGATTTTTGTTGGATAGCATTTACACTAGTATTTTCATGATTGGATAGCTTTCTGACGAGTAAAAATGCCCTAAGAAATTACCAATATAAATGAACCCAGCTAGAACCATCTAAACACACACACACAGCAAATGGTAGAAAGAGAAGTGTCTGATTGTATAATTCCAGGGTTTATACTTCTATATGCGTCTCTATATCTGCTGGCCAAACAGACAGTGCACAAACACACACAGGCGAAACACCCACACACACACACAGACGAAATGCAGAGAGAAGGGGCTCCACATGAGAGGGTGGGTAGGTTAACACATTCCTAGATAAAACAGTTACAAAAGACTCGAACAGGTTCCAGGCAGAGTCTGTGTGTGTGAGATTAATGGTTACAGTATCCCAGGTAAGTGTGTGGGAGTGTATGAGACCTCTATAGGGGTCAGCAGCTACAGCATAATAATATCACAAACGAAACAGACACACACAGAGAGAGATACTTCTGTGTTTACAATGTGAGAGTGAAATAATCTGGTGACAGTTTGAAAGGAAGGAAAAGAAAGTGCTTTCATGGTGCACATTGTATATTTTACTCACTGAGTGTCTCTCGCTCTTTAAACCACACACACAATACTCTCTTCCTCCGCTGGGACTAGCAGACAGATGCAGTACGCTGACACTAAACCACACACACACACACACACGTATAAATATACTCCATTCACTCACCTGGAAACAGCTGGCTGGTGTTCCAACACACACGCACAGTCACACACACACACACACACACACACACACACACACACACACACACACACACACACACACACACACACACACACACACACACACACACACACACACACACAGCTAATTTAAAACTCTTGCATGTCTAACAGAGGGGTGAAGGAACCAAAACATCTTTTTAAAATCCGTAATCCATCCCATTTGGGAGGAAATCTCAAAAGTTTCTCCTAGAAGCAATGAGATGTTGAGTGAGATAAGTGGATTGAGACACCCCAGGATTGTCACATCTCCAAATTTTCAGAAGAGGTCTAAACAACGTTACAAACTGTTCCCAAGTATGCAATCTTCAATCTAAACAATTTTAATCTTGGTGTATCCATATTTTTTTTAGTCCAATAGAACTTTAGGAAAAACTTCAAAGAAAGTTGACAACCTTTGATCTGCAGATTCAATCTGTACATTCAAATTTGCCATATCGATGATCATTTACGAATCGCATGACATGAGGGCGAGTGAATGAAGGCAGAATGAGTGAACTAACATCACCCGATGAAAACACAGCGAATAACTAAATCTGCTGAGCAATGAAAGAGCAACATCTGAGAAATAACGTTTTCCACTGGGATCACACCCCACAACTAAAAGCATAGGCTTCTCTGGCTTCTCACTCTTTGTGGCTGTTATATAGCGGCAGTCTCTGTGTCACATATTCCTGATGGAACAGCAGCAGAGAGAGAAATACAACTATTCTCAACTCAAGGACTCGGATGCAGAGAGAAGAGAGAGAGAGAGAGAGAGAGAGAGAGAGAGAGAGAGAGAGAGAGAGAGAGAGAGAGAGAGAGAGTCCTCCACAACTAACCTGGAAGAATTTCTGCCTTTCACACACACTTATGCAGAATGTGTCAAACAAACGGGAAAGATGGAGACAGAACATTCTCTCCACAATCCTATACTTCAGCTACTGTTGAACAAAGAGACAGACAAAGAGAGGCAGAATGACTCTCAGACAGTTTTATGGGGGAAAAAATGAGTGGGGGGGGGGGGGGGGGGAATTGGGATCAGTCACCTGAGAAAAGGAGGGAATGTGAGAGCAGACAGATGAAAGAAACGTTACACACGTAGCCTGTCTTCTGTAATTCACAAGCCTCCAGTCAATCTGCCGTCGTCTGCAGGGACCCTGTCCTTCACAGTCCATTATTACACACACACACACACACACACACACACACTTCTCCATTCCATCTTTTCCCCTTTCCGGCTTTAGACACTCATTTTCACTCCTTTCATCTCTCTCTCGCTCGGTGAGACGCAATAAGGTGAGCAAAGAAGTCAAATAATGTCCTGCCACAGCAGTCAGTGCACCAGCGCTCACAGAGAAACACACACACACACACACACACACACACACACACACACACACACACACACACACACACACACACACACACACACACACACACACACACACACACACACACACACAAAGCGAGATCACATGTGACTCGGGGACTTTGCTGGAGTTTGTAACAATGACACATTGAATTAAATAAAGTCCAGCATGAGCTCCAGAAAAACAACCCAGTGTTTTTGTCCTATCCATCCATCCATCCATCCGTCTGTCTGTTTATCATCTATCTGTCTGTCTATCTATCCATCTGTCCATTTATCTATCTATCTATCTATCTATCTATCTATCTATCTATCTATCTATCTATCTATCTATCTATCTATCTATCTATCTATCCATCTATTTATCCACCCGTCTATCTATCTAGTCTGTATGGCAGAGTGAGTGCTGTCAATGAAGGACAACAGGACAACTAAAGTGAAAGTATTTATTCTCTTAAACTGTCACTTCATCCATACACACACACACACACACACACACACACCTGCACATCCTTCACTTGCACAATTGATAATTGCCATCCTGTCTCACCTGTGGACCTCGTCTCTCTCTACTCTTCCTCTTCCTCTTCCTGTCGCATTCTCTCCGTCTCTCTCCTGCCATCTCATTTTTCTTTCCAGTGCAGAGAGTGAGTCTGGGAGGAACAGAGAGCGAGAGAGAGGGGTTTTATGAAAGAAATTAAATGTTTTTACGAATAAATGTCAAGCAATAAGAGATCCCAACCACACAGTTGCTTTAAGTCAAGTCCACTTGTCAGTCATCTGAGTAACAAGCTGTTTACAGGCATATGTGTGTACTGCTCCTATTTACCTCAATGAAGACAAATCTCAAGACTGTATTCAATTCAACCCCTGACAACAATGGTCTCATAAATGTTGCTGTATTTTTCAGTTAAATGTGCATGCAAATTCTCTATAAAAAAGTGTTTGGTTCTATTAGGCAAAAGGTGGGATTTCTATCTCTAAAGCTGCTGTATTGAGTGTTACAATTTGTGCCATATTTTTTAAAGATGTATCCGACTTCATTAAGATGTATCCTCTGCAAAAGTCCAGGAGCTCTCTGTGTGTGTGTGTGTGTTTTGAGGAAAGTGCTGAGCTGTGTTGTAACCTGATCTGCATCAGTGTTACAGAAGAACTCACTGACCCACAGTACAGTAATGCATACATTCAGTCCATAACTTCCACAATCTGCCTGCAGCACTTCACGCAACTAACCATAGGAACCAGAATAATGTTCGATCTTGCTCTAACAGTAGGTGTTCACTCTGCTGATTATAACTAGAGAACAAGAAAAAGAGGAGGGCACACTCAGTATTAAGATACATGTATTAGAGCTGGGCTTGTGCCAGAGAGAGAGAGAGAGAGAGAGAGAGAGAGAGAGAGAGAGAGAGAGAGAGAGAGAGAGAGAGAGAGAGAGAGAGAGAGAGAGAGAGAGAGAGAGAGATGGAGGGAGATAGAGAGAGAGAGATGGAGGGAGATTGAGAAAGAGAGATGGAGGGAGAAAGAGAGAGATGGGGGAGATGGAGAGAGAGAGATTGAGAGAGATATGGAGGGAGAGAGAGAGATGGAGGGAGATGGAGAGAGAGAGATTGAGAGAGAGATGGAGGGAGAGAGAGAGAGATGGGGGAGATGGAGAGAGAGAGATTGAGAGAGAGATGGAGGGAGAGAGAGAGATGGGGGAGATGGAGAGAGAGAGATTGAGCGAGAGATGGAGGGAGATGGAGAGAGAGATGGAGGGAGATGGAGGGAGAGAGAGAGATTGAGAGAGAGATTGAGCGAGAGATGGAGGGAGATGGAGAGAGAGATGGAGGGAGATGGAGGGAGAGAGAGAGATTGAGAGAGAGATGGAGGGAGAGAGAGAGATGGGGGAGATGGAGAGAGAGAGATTGAGCGAGAGATGGAGGGAGATGGAGAGAGAGATGGAGGGAGATGGAGGGAGGGATGTGGTGTTGGGTGGAGTTGAGTGCTTTGATCTAATCTACGGTATCTCATCAACACACTAGCTTTAACACTCCTCCTAGTGTCATTGTTTTCAGATGGATCAGAAGACTATGGTGAAGTGTGTGTATTTATGTAGTGCAATGGAGAAACTGGAATCTCACATTAGCAGAAATTGATTCCAACGATGAAGCTCCCATTAGAGAGAGCGGCTAACATAGCTGAAGAACTATTAGCAAAGGCTTCTTGGGAAAATGTGAGCAATTAGAAACACTATGATGGCACAGTTTTCCAGTTGCTGTGGTCTGATCTATCTAATATAGTTGTAGTTAAGCTGAAGAGTGTTAGAATACTTTATCCTGTCAGAGACATAGCCTTCTGGACAGCGGTCCAAAATTGCATTGGGAAACCCAAGTTTCATCTTAAATTCCAGCTTTCCTGATGTTCCTCCTTTCTTCTCTCCCATTGCTTTCTGTCCAATAAAGGCAAAAAGACCAAAAAACAATCTCACTTTGAGCATCGTGACCAGCCCAGCACAGCAACACCGTCCTAACCAATTTTCTTCACAGGAGTGTTCGGGAAACCAGTCATTAATATTGCAATTCTGTTTGGTGACACTAGAGGTGCAGAAATTCATCTTTAAATGAAAATGAAAACAATTAAACATAGACAATGAGTATCACCATAGCATTCACAACATGTCTCCGTTCTATATTGTCATTTCCTGCTCGTCCGGCACTTTGCAACAACACAGATTCTGGAACGACTTTTAGCATGTTTCCTAAAACAACGTCTGACGTTCTACGTTTTACGTGGCGTGAGAAAGTCACATAAACCACGTGACGTGAAATCCGATCAGAGCGGTCAGACTGAAACAGATTTCCAGAAATGCGATTTGAATTTTAAAAAATTGCATTACATGTGATTTCTGGCCGTTCACACTAGCTAAATCTGATCGGATTTCAATCGGATATGCACAAAAATCGGATTTGGACTGAGGCCCCGTCCACACTACTGCGTCTTCGTTTAAAAACGGAGACCTTTTGCTACGTTTGCACCTCCCGTCCACACTAAAACGGCAAAAACGGAGACCCAAAACGGAGAAGTTTAGAAACGCTGCCGATCCGTTTTTCGTTTTGAATCTCTGGAGGGCGTTTTAGTGTAGACGGGTCAAAACGGAGGTCTTTAGAAACGATGACGTAGTAGAGGCTCCCGCTCGGCTCTATGATTGGGTGTCATCAGTCATGGCGTATATCTTTGCTAGCAGCTGTTGTACAAGTCAATTCTGCATTTTACAACGCTATAACTGCCGACATGCGCCGGAGTCAAGCTATTATTCGAGCGATCTGTGACAATTCCCGTGTGCAGCGGCGGCGTTGACCGGACATGGAGCGTCGGTTTGGGGTTAACCCGGAGCATGGTGGGATAATTTTATCAACGAAGTTGTGTTTACACCGGCACGCGCATGCCCAGTGTTGGTGAATGGTCACGTGATCCGCGTTTTCAGTCGTTTTAATGTGGACGGAGATCAATTCTAATACGCAGCTAAAACGCTGGTGTGGACGGAGATCGTATTCCTTTTAATTATCCGTTTCTAAACTAAACCGCAGTAGTGTGGATGGGGCCTGACAGTCTGAACCATGCCCTCTCTCTGTCTATTATCTTAACCCCACCCTTCTTGTTTTCAGATTATTGGTTTATTTGCCCCACCTGTCCTGCCCTGTTACCTGTGTGTCTAGCCCTGCTACGCCGTGCCCTGCCTGGCCTGCTCAGTCCTGATGCCATTGGGTTAGGGACTCACTGCACTAAACACCTACAGGATATTGGACGCAATCAAAAGTTCAGATCTGGAGAAAAAAAATGGTAAGTAAAGAGACTAATTATGTTGGTATTGACCTTAAAATCAGGTCAATCATTGGGGTTAAGAGTATTTGTTTAATTTAAGAACAATATAGGTCAAAAGGAAGTCCCCTTTTGGATAGCTAAGTACATATATGTGTGTGTGTGTGTGGGGGGGGGGGGGGGGGGGGTGACTGAGGGGAACTTTGTCTAAGTGATACTCTGTGCATTGCTCTATGTGCACACACACACACACACACACACACACACACAGAGTATGGCTATACCATTATATATTCCCACGAAAACCAAAACAAAAGCATGCACGTTTACAGAGACACACACACAAATACCATGCCAAAACAATTCTGCACATCACACACACTTATACGCAGCATCAGAGCTCCACACACCAAAGAGCAACATGAAATATTTAGTGAATTTTTTAACATGTGCTCCCCTAGCACGTGTAGAAGTGCAAAAAAAGAGAGAGAGAGACAGGAAGGAGGAAATGGGAGGGGGAGATGGAGTCAATGAGTGCAAGGGGAGAGCAAGAGCGAGAGAGAGAAACACCCAGCTGACTCTTTTCCAAGCAACTCCCCCTAGCAACAGCCCTCGCTCAGCCTGTGCCCTATTGGCCAGCTGACAGCCCGCATCACAATCCCATGTAGGACAATCAGCCAATGAGATGTCGTAATGGGCCTGAGCTGCAGGGAGAGCTAAGCTTTTTGGATTCCATGTTCACCATGGCAACAGAAACCTGGCCCTGACTTAAAGGTACCCTGCAAAAACACACACACAAACCAGAACATACGGCTACTCGTGGACACAGGGACTGATGCTCCTTTAAGGCTGCCTGATCTACAGCAGACCGACACACAAATCACAGAAAACACAAACAGATACTGTCAAAGCCCTAAAAAGTATTTCGATACACAATATCAAACTCAGTGGTATTTGCACAAATGATACTAGAGCTTTTCTCCGATTTAACTTCACTTTTCTGAGGTGAACCTTTTCAGATGACTTCTAACTAACTGGTCCCAACATGATTTCTATAGTCAGTTCTCCTCAAGTTTACAGGTATCCTAGCGGAGTAACCACAGGTGTAGTGCACTCACTATGACCATGATCCAAAAAAGTGCAACAATATTTTTTGTATTAATTATGAACAATACATATAGTGTTTTCAAATCGATTAATCATGCGTGCACACACACACACACAGCCTAAAATATTAACACTCGCCAAGTGCCAAAAATCAGTGTTGATATGAAACGTGTCAATCGCCAGTTGGCCGGTAACATTTTCACGAATTGATTTCTCTTTTACTTTCGTCTTCTTGCGTTTGAACAGACATATTCAAAAGAAAATTATATCAAAATGCCTGTCTTGACATGTATCTTCGTGAACACAGTCAGTTATGTCTTAAAGGTGTGGTCCGTGAGGGTACTGCAGGTGGTCTGTGGAAAGGCAAAATAAAATATAAAATAATATTTTTTTACGTTCATTTTACCAGGAAATTTCCATTAAAAAAAAAAAAGTAAAAAGAATATGTAGGCCTATATTGATATAAAATTTTAATTAAATTGTCAATTGTAAATTAAATGTGTAAAGGGCAGAGGCGTTCTCATTATCACATCACACGCATAGCCTTTATAGGCAGTTTATATGAAAGGAAAGGTTTATAAATGGAATGAATAAGGCCTGTTATTATATTAATTCCCAGTTAGTCTCGCGTTTCTGTAATGTTTTGCGGATGTGCTGTAAAGTGGACAAACTCAAGCCTACTTTTTGAGGACTTGTAATAATCCCCTAAAAGGTTTTGAAATGTTGACTATGTCCAAGTGTTCTTATT